TATTTTCCTTCCATTTATGGTAATGGAGGGGAAGATTCTTTTCAGTCACCTGAGAGGGGTTTCCTGGATATATTTTGTCTATACAGATTCAGGCCTGTTACCTAAGATTCAGAGTTGACTGTTGTATGTGAATTAATAGTACCCTGGAGAAATCAGAAATGAACAACTCTGAATATACATCTCCATTTCAGTGTACTCAAAAAGAATGGCCCATGCTTTTCATGAGAGGAACAAATATCTTAGAAGAAGATAGTATGGCTAAATTGAGAGTGATCCTGGGAAGTCCCTGGGGACCAAGAGGAACTAACTGGCTATGCTCATGAGAAAGTAAACTCGGGTTGGAGAAGCCCTGCAAAAGATAATATTGAAAGCCATACCTCAAGCACAGCTCCTTACCTATTCTGTTTTTCTAAACACAGCCAAATAAATATGCCAACAAAATAAAATGGCACCATGTTTAAGGCTGACACTAATAGTGTACAGATGAAGAACATGGACCGTGGAGTCAGTTTAAGTTAAGGTTCTACTCCTTGCCAGCTATATGACTTGGAGTAAATTATTTTCCTTCACCTTGAGCCTCCATTTTCCCATGTGTAAAACAGATAATCCAGTGTATCTCCGTCATAGGATTTTGTGACGATTAGATACGGTGGTAATCCATGTAAAGCAATGAGCAAAATGCCTGGCACATATTAAGTGCTGTAATAAATGTTAACTAATAGCAGTAGCAAAGGCAGCAGGTACATGGCCCCTGTACATTCTCTCCTCTCCCCATTTAGTCCATAAGAATGGATAATCTCTTCTTTTGTAATGTTATAAACTCAGACAGTGTTACATCCATGCCTTTAAAATACAGTTTAACAGAACCAAATCTGGAAGTGCCCTTAGGATCAGCTGGTGCTCTTCTTTCATTTAAAGTGAGAAAAAGAAGGTATGACAGGATTGGAGAAGGCCCTAGGTCTCCTGGTTCACAGCCTTTCTTTTTTGCTACATGTTGCTACCTTCTCAATCACAGAGCCATGTGTCCCTTTTCATTTTTAATTAAGCTTTTGCTTCCAAGGAAACTAATTATTTCTCTCTACTTTTGTGTGTGTGAAATTTTTCTTAATAAACAGAAAATTATTAAAATCTTTGAGCTGAAATTAAAAAATAATTGTTTAAAGCAAATTAGAATATGCTTGATTATATATAGACGGTCTCTGTTTGGGAACAAAGAAGCTGGTAACACTGGTTGCCTCTGAGGAGGGGCACTAGAGGAGAAGTGGCATTGATCATAGTGGTGTTATGACAAGGTGTTCCTGAGACCTATAAATTCTGAAGAATAGTCAGTTTTTCCAATCCACTTACAGGTTAGTAGAATAGGACAAGGAAGAAAATAGTACAAGTATCTGTAGTTATTTGAAATTTGGGGACTATATAGATTCAGATAAAATTTTGGAGATATCCATTATACTATTGACACTCTTAACTCTCACTACCCAGATTTCAGGAACCAAATAGGTTTGGATAGGGAGGAATACTTTGGTTTCGTTTGGGTGAAGACTGCTCCTGAGAATTACGTTGACGTGCCTCTGTCTCTGACTTAGTGGGTGACCTTGGGTAAATTTCATAACCTAATTCCTCACCTGCCAATGGATAGAGATGATAAGCCCTGTTCTTACCTGGTACATGAGGTTGTTGCAGCATAAAATGAAATCATGTGGAAATTAACACAATTCAGGGTTCAGCCTTGTTAGAAGACTAGGAACTTAACTTGAGCTCTTGGAAAAGAAAAGAAGTAGTATTTTAACAAGCACGTGTTCATGCTAGGTTGGATTGCAGAGGCAGCATTCACCTCTCAAAAAAGAGAAAGGGAAGGCCAAATGACTGTATGACTATACTTTGTTTTGGCCACTTTATGTGATGCTTTCTTTTGTGTGTGTGTGTGTGTATGTGTGTGTGTGTGTTACAGTGTAATGTTTGAGCCTCCTACTTTTTCTGTGTTAAAACCTATGATTTGCAGAGCTAGTTACTTCTAACTTCCTCTTTTCTGAAATAAGAAGAAACATTTTAAAGCAAAACAATCCAAATATGTTTTAGGGTTACTACCCTTAAATTTCAGAGCATGGCATTCTTGACAGCATGGAAGGTATCTGTTTAGCACCTCTCATATCATATATTTATTAAGGTAATTAAATTCTTACGGTAGAAGTAATATTTAACCTCTGTGCATTGCTACCAACATTTTAATATATTGAGGGTTTTTAGTTATTATAAATTCGTAAAAAATATTTTCAATATAGTAGATTTACTCAAGGAAAATAATGAAGTACCTGACATTATTATCTATAGGCAGGAACTTTTTCCTTTAAGAAGATAGTACTTTATGGGAATATGTTTAAGAAACAGGATATTTACATAGTCTTGAGCTATCTTCTCATAAGATACTTATTAATTACAAAGGGGAAAATAGTACCTTTATAGTGTAGAAACCTGGTAGGCAGCACCCGCACTAAGTGATCAAAGTTAATATCACTAGTAAAGGGACAAGTTGGTGCAGTAGTCCCCCTTTATCCACAGTTTTGCTTTCCACCAGTTTCAGTTACCCGCAGTCGACCATGGTCCAAAAACATTAAATGGAAAATTCCAGGAATAAACAATTCATAAGTTTTAAATTGTGTGCTGTTCTGAGTAAAGTGATGAAATCTCACTCTGTCCTGCCCAGGATGTGAATCATCCCTTTGTCCGGCATATTCATGCTGTATGTGTTACCTACCCGTTAGTTAGTAAGTAGCCCTTTAGGTTATCAGATCAACTGTCATGGTATTGTGGTCCTTGTGTTCAGGTAACCCTTATAAGGGCCCCAAAGTACAGGGGTAGTGATGCTGGCAATTTGGATACATCAAGAGAAGCTGTAAAGTGCTTCCTTTAAGTGAAAAGGTGAAAGTTCTCAGCTTAATAGGGAAAGAAAAAAAATCGTATGCTAAAGTTGCTGAGATCTGTGGTAAGAAGAAATCTTCCGTCTATGAAACTGTGAAGAGGGAAAAAGAAATTCATGCTCGTTTTGTTATCACACCTCAAATATGTATGTATAGGAAAAAACATAGTATATATAGGGTTTGGTACTATCCATTAGTTTCAGGCATCCACTGGGAGTCCTGGAACATAACCCTCTGCTAGGTTAAGGGGGAACTACTGTGTTTTGGACCTCCTGATATGATGTATTTGAAAGGACACATTACTTCTTTGATATTCTTACCAAAAATGCAAATTGAATCTAATCATGAGGAAATATTAAATAAACCCAAATTGGGGGACATTTTACAAAACAAATGACCTGTACGCCTCAAAATTGTCAAGATCTTGAAAGACAAACTGAAGAACTGCTCCTGATTAAAGGAGAAGAAATTGTTCCAGGTTAAAAGAATTGTCATGAAGAAGCATGAAATTTACTAAATGAAACCTATGATCCTAGATTGGATCCTAAGCCAAAAATATTTTCCTTCATTTTTTTAAAAAGGACGTTAGATAATTGGAGAAATTATCTCCAATATAATTCCAATATCTCTAGTATATAGATTAAATAATAGTACTCTATCAATGTAATTTTCCTGGTTTTGATAATTGTACTATCTTTATGTAAAATAATATTCATGTATTTTTAGGAAATATACCCTGAAGTATTTAGGGTTAAAGGAGCAGTGTGTCTATTATTTTCAAACGTCATAAAAAATACAGAAATAATAATATAGAAAAAAATGATAGACATGATTAAGTGTTAAGATTTGGGAAATATGGATGAAGGTTGTAGGGAAATTCTTTGTACTACTTTTGCAACTTTTCTAAGTCTGAAATTACTTTTTAAAAAAAGATAAAGGAGGGGCTGGCCTGGTGGCATAGTGGTTAAGTTCACTTCGGCAGCCTGAGGTTTGCCAGTTTGGATCCTGAGCGCAGCCCTACACACCACTCATCAAGCCATGCTGTGACAGGCATCCCACATATAAAATAGAGAAAGGTGGACACAGATCTTAGCTCAGAGCCAGTCTTCTTCAGCAAATAGAGGAGGATTAGTGGCGGATGTTAGCTCAGGGCTAACCTTCCTCAAAAAAAAAACCAACAAAAAGATAAAGGAGATAGTAAATGAGGTTTGTCACTAACTGATTTTTTTTTGCATCAATAGACTGTTTATTGCTTATCGATGATTTGGAAGATGATGATTTGCTGAGAAAAGTTAATATCAAAGTGTGGCAAATGAATAATACTATTACAATATGACAGAGCAACATAAAACAGGTTGATAAAATGTCAAAGCATTTTTACTGTATTAAAAGTAATTTTTTGATTGACAGCTCTCATTATTGCATAGTATTATGACTCATGTATACTTCGATACATTGAGAAAAAGTTATTAGTTTTCACTTTTTGCATGGAATTCTTTTCATGACTTATTCACCAATTTTTGAGTAGGTTGTTAGAAAACCCTTTCTGGGTCAGTTTCCTCATCTGTAAAATGAGCTGGTTGGTGTAGATTAAATTTTAAGGTTCCTTCCAGTTCTAAAGTTATGTGATCTTATAACTAGATAGAAAGTGAAAGTTAATTTTCCCATTTAGTCAAAAGCTGTTGTTAAATACACAATTTATGTGCCGAGGGACAGTGTAATAATTATTAAGGTAACAGATTTTTTTCTGTGAAAGAAACTTTTGCTGAGATTTTATTTAATTGTACAATTTCATTTGTATGCCACTTCTTACACGTTATTGACACTAGTTTTTTTTACATTTAATGTGGTTTATAGGTATAATTTTATAGCATTTCCCAGAGAAAACTTAAGACTCAAGACTGATAATGAAAGTTTATTTGTTCTTAATAAGGATATATTCTCTGCAGCCTAGAAGGATTGTCAAAATACAGGTAGCTGATAAAGTAAAAACTAAATTGATGTCCAGTATAAATTATCTTTTAGTTATAGCTAATAAAAGCAAAACTTTGTTAATCCGTTTTTTTTCCTTCACCCTCCCAGCTTGGTGATCCAGCTATTTTTCCTGCCGTAATTGTGGAACATGTTCCTGGTGCTGATATTCTCAATAGTTACGCAGGTCTAGCCTGTGTGGAAGAGCCCAATGACATGATTACTGAGAGCTCCCTGGATGTCGCTGAAGAAGAAATCATAGATGACGATGATGACGACATCACCCTTACAGGTATGCGTCCCTCCGGCAGCATTTTACTTCAGCACAGTTTTAGGCAGTCTCCTAGCCCTGTGATTTTAGGGGCATGAAAAGACCCTAACTTGGTTTTGAGTAACTCCATTACCTGCCGAAGCTAGAGCCCTGCAGAGAGAAGGAAATTACATTTTCTTTGTTGTCTGCCTGTGTGTCATACTGCTTTCACACCTGCCCTTTCTTCTTTCCTGAATATATTGAAATGAAGGTGACAGAATAGGAGGCATGTTAAAGGAACCGAACAACTCAATTCATCAAGTCTTCCCTGAGCACTTTTTGTATGCATAGCTCTATGTTCTTGATGACAATGAGAAGTTGTAGGGAAAAAGATAGGAATGTTCTTTTTTTTTACTGCTGCCACAGGAAGTAAATAGGAGGCCGTGACCCCAATGTAGGATAAGGCGCTGGGGTTTAAAGAAGATTCCTTTTCTGGTTCAGTCAGAAGTAGTAGGATACTTCAAACCTGAAAAGTTCGCTATGTGAGTGTGAGGTACTGGGAGTGCTAATTTCATCTTTTAGAAATTGGTGCATGCATTTGTATTTTTATACATTTATATTCATATATCTTGGCCAGAGATGTTGGAGGTGTTTGAGAAAATTATTTGGTAGCAAAGGTTATTTGAATATTTACTCTTAAATTAAAAAGAAAAGGAAGTTAACATTAGTTGCAATATTACTAACTAAACCTAGACTTTATTTATATTTCACTCATTTCACACTAATGTCCTTTTTCTGATCCAGGATCCTATCTAGAATCCCACATTGCATTTAGTTGTTGTTTCCTCTTAGTCTCTTGCAGTCTGTAACAGTTCCTCTGTCTCTCCTTGTCTCTCATAAACTTCATACTTTTGAGGAGTACTGGTCAGACATTGTGGAATGTCCCTCAGTTTTATTTGTGTGATGTTTTCTCATGATTGGAATGAGAGAATGCATTTTGGGCAAAAATACCACCAAAATGGCATTGTCTTCTTCTTAGTGCATCTTATTAAGGTAGTATATTTTAAAAAAATACATTACCTCATTTAATTCTCACAACAGAAAAAGAAAACTGAAATTAGGTTAAATTAAATGACTTGCTTCAGGTCACACACCAAGTGACTGAGCTCCCATTGATAATGTTGCCAAACAACCCACTTAGTTTTTGTATTGTCTTCTGTTTTTTACAGTCTGTTCTCATATATTCACATTTTTCGTTCGGAGCACTCAAAGTTTTTTTTTTTTGAGGAAGATCAGCCCTGAGCTAACATCCAAGCCCATCTTCCTCTACTTTATATGTGGGACGCCTGCCATAGCATGGCTTGCCACGAGGTGCCGTGTCTGCACCTGGGATCCCAACCAGTGAACTTGGGGCCGCCGAAGCAGAATGTGCGCACTTGACCGCTGTGCCACCGGGCCTGCCCCTCAAAGATTTTTGATAAATCTAGACTTATTTCTCCCTTATCAATAAGGGAATTAGCTTAATCAGATTGGACGTTTCTGTCCATTGCTGGCTGTGATCTGTGTGTTTAGTATAACGGAATGACCACCTTGTTCTTAGCTTGTAGGGTTTTTGCAATGTATTTTGATGTAGCTTTTTAATGCATTAGGTTAAGGCTACTCTCACTGTAGGTTGGGAACCAGGGTCTCCCCGAAGGGCTGTTTATTACTGGTTTCAGTCATCAGGGAAGACATTGGTTCTCCCAGAATAAATAGAGACTAGCGAAGCAGATCGAGGATCTTTAGGAAAAGGAATTGCTTCTTTCTTTCAGTGCTTCACTCTCCTGGGCTTAGACGTGAGGATAGCTGATGATGAGATACAGACAGGCTCCTTCCTACCTGGAAAACAGAACTAGTATGGAATGGGTCCAGAAAGCAAGCCATATCTTGAAAACCAGATTTGCTATTTGCATGATCCTTGTCCTTCCTGTTTCTTCTCTCCCAACACAAGCCTTTGTTTAACTCTTGCATCCTTGTTTGAGCAATGTCTGAGAATGGAAACCTTGTAGCCCTCCTTAGTTCAGAATTGGGGAGGAAAGAGTACTGCACTTTTGAGAAACTACAAGGCAAGAAAGAGATGGGAATGGAACATTTTATATACTTGAGAGTCCCAGGCAGCACTTCAGATGATATTAAGAATTCTTGTCAATTTTTTTAGGTATGATCATAGCATTGTGTTAGATTCCTTGTCTTTTAGACACATATGTTAAAATGTTTAGAGATAAAATGTGATGTCCTGGTTCCTTCAAAATAATCCTGGGTTGGTGGGTATGTGTGAGGGGAACTTGAAGGCAGTAGGTGGAGTATGGATGAAAGAAAATTGACCATGTGTTGATAATGATTGTTGCTGAGAATGGATATGAGAATTCGTTATACTATGTTCCATAATTTTGATTTTGTTTGAAATTTTCAATAATAAAAAGATTGAATTATTTTTATGGATTTGAGGCGTATATGAAAATGCAGCTATCATCTATAACCTTTTATTTCAAGTTTCCATGTTCATCGAAACACTTTTGTTTTTGCCGTTGATTTATCTCATATCAAGATTGAACTGGGGGCCGGCTCCGTGGCCGAGTGGTTAAGTTCGCGTGCTCCGCTGCAGCGGCCCAGGGTTCGGATCCTGGGCGCGGACATGGCACTGCTCGTCAGGCCACGTTGAGGCGGCGTCCCACATCCCACAACTAGAAGGACCGGCAGCTAAGATATACAACTGTGTATGGGGGGGTTTGGGGAGATAAAGCAGGAAAAAAAAAAAAAAAAGATTGAACCTAACTCATTTGACTGTGAGCTCTTACCTATGTGGAGATTCTTCTTCCATTACCAGTCTTTGAGGATCTAAAACTGAAATTATTAAAGGAGATAGTAGGAATTGTATTGCCACAAATGGAAGGTAACCATGATGGCTATATTCATTAGTAAATCTTCTCTTTTAAAAAAAATGTTATTATGTGTCCCATCTTTCATACTTACTCTTATCTGTTTTTGCAAGATCAAACATGATCTTTAGTAATTCATAATAATTTCAAATGTCTTTAATGAATTGTTCTCTGAATTATAGTATCAATGCTGTCCTTAGTATAAATAGATTTTAACTAGTTGTCAAATCAGAGCTAATCTGTTATAAAGTTTAAAAATACATGTATTAAAATCTTCTGAGTTTATTGTTGCCTACGAGAAATTATTGTCATCCATTTAATGAAGGGCCAACATTTTCTTTATAGTGTTAAAAGCTAGATATACTTTTTTCTGGTTTTCTTTCCTGTTTCATGTAGGATCCACCAATTTATTTTGCATTTCGTGACCTAAGCACTGAAGCTGAATGGAATGAATCATGTTTTGCAAATTAGACCATTGATGTTAAACACATTTGGCTTGCCTCATGTTTTTGAAATTCAAAAGATAGCATGATTTCTGAATATAGCTGGGGAATGGTTTCTAGTGTATATTAAGTTAAAGAAACAAGGATCAGGACAGCATGAATAGTATGTTACTCTTTACTTAAGATATGGGAAAGAATATAAATAATAGGTGTGTGTTTGCTTATATTTAAAAAGTAGAAAGATAAGCCAAAAACTAATAAAAATAGTTCCTTACAGGGAAAAGGAGAGGACAGGAATGAAAGCTAGAATTCTCTAAATGTACTTTGTTTTGTAGTTTTTACTTTGGAACCATGTAAATATTTAACAGAATTATAAAACAAAATTAAATCCAAAAGAGGGAAAATTAGGAATCTAAAAGTTGAAGCACACTGAAACAAATGAACTTAATTATGTTAATTGAGTTGTTGGCATAACCATAACGGATAATAATTATTTAAAGTGATTTTTAAGGCTGTACATTTCCCACTAGGATATACCCTAAGAAGCAAAAACAAAACTGCTTAGAAATCTTAAATTGTCTTCAGTAATTATACTGTTAGTAATAATATGGCTATTGTTATTTTAAAACGTGTGTGCGCATGTGAGAGAGATATTAGGGTAAAATCAAATAAGTAATGAAGTTAATGTTATAAGAAGCCAAGATTTTTGGCATAAAATAAGATACACAAATATTAAATTGCAAAGTTAAGTAAAAATTCTATAATTCTATAAATAAATTTAATATAAATAAATCCTATAAATAAATTATATAAGCCTACAAATAAATTCTGTAATGCTAAATTGGAATTGAAAATATCAGTATGAACTCATGATGTATTTTCTTCTTTAAAAAAACAAAAACAAAAAATATTTACTAGGCAGATATGGGACAACTTGAGCATAAATGAGATAACCACAGTGGATTGAAGCATATCTAGTATGTTCAAATCCATGATTTCATGATACATATGCACAAAAAAATAGTCACTAATAGGTTATACTAATTACAATTTTGAAAACTGGTAAGGTTAGGAATCAGACACTTATTCTCCCTTCACTATATGAACTATATTGCTGCGTCAACTAGATTATTAAATGAGAAGTTTCTCCTTATAGTGGTATTTCAGCTTATAAATGAAAAAGGTATGATAAGTAGAATATCTGCATTTTGTAATCCCTAATGAATTAATAGGGATAGGTATTGAGCATCAACAGTTGCTAACATCACAAAAAGAGAACACCAGACATTTGAGCCTTTTAATGGAAGAACACATCATCACATATGAAAAATAGCCTTCCTCCAAAATAATACCAGAATTTGATCAAGCTTCCAGAATTGACTACCAGTTTAGAGGCAATATAGAGAAATGTGTTACACTGCACAATGGGAATACAATTAGCAAAATCCAGACTGAGAAACTCGACAGGACAGCCTCGTTTCCTCATTCGTTGCAAGGAAAAAAAGAGAAAGAGAGGGTGACATAGAAATGAAAAGAAACTTAAGAAACATATCAGTCAATTGCAATGTGAGGACTGTATTTGGATCCTGATTTAAGCAAAAAACTATCAACTCCCCCTCACCCACTACCATTTATGATATTTGAGACAATTGGACATTTGAATGCTATTTGATTAAGGCAA